GAGAACCACAGTGATGGAGAGCTCACTCCCATGGACAGATGGGCTATAGATCAAGAGGTCATTCTAAATCTGACTTCTTTAGTTTTTTATGAGGCACAAGGCAATGACAGTCATTTTCTAACTTTAGATGAGATGCCTAGTGTACATTTTGAGTTCCATTGTCAGAGCACAGTGGTTGAGATGGAGCAATCATATAAAACTAGATCTCTTTTTCCCTCCCTCCCTCTCACACTGCTGGACACTACATCAATTTCCCCCTTCTGAAATATTGGATTAGTCATGACACTTTCAACTTCCCCAGAACCTGAAACCTTTAAAATGTGTTAAATGGTTTTCTTGAGGAAGACCTTTAGACTTCACAGATAATCTATAGTGTTAAATGTTACACAGTCATATCATAGATTTCGCAGTATTGTATCAAATCAAATAATCTACTTTTGCTCATTGTTTCAGTTTCAGTTTAATTCGTTTTGTTTTGTTCTTTTCTCTTCAGCCTCTTTGAGAATTTGAGTCGAATTATCTCTCCCAACTACGTTCCCTCTGAGACTGATGTTTTAAGAGTGCGAGTACGAACCTGTGGAATCATTGAAACACAATTTCAAGTGAATGATTTAGTTTTTCGGTAAGACTTACTTTAGTTTCATTATTGCTTTTGATATGACACAGAACTGTACATGTGCGGGAGTAAATGTATTTCTTGGCGCTGGGCCATGTATAAAAATATAATGTTATTTAATTACCATAAACACTGGTATTCCACAAAAAAATGTAACTTTTCTTAGATGGATAGGTTTAACACCTTATACTGTACATGCATGCACAACAGTATTAAACTGGTTCATAAAGAGCTACATAGTCACTGTTTTTAAAAATGTAAGGTGAAGTAAGTATACCCAGAATCCTTGAGTTCAGTGAGACTGCGTCACTGACTGTAAAGGGACCTGCAATCGCTCCTGCTTATAAAATATGAACGATCTCGCCTGTTTCAGGAAAAGGAATGCATGTTAATCTTTTCTTGCTGTACTCCTGTTGCTTCTGTCAGCCAGTTCTATTTCAGCAAATCAATGGTCCAAAATGTCCAAACATTTGAAGATTGAAAAGTTTTTTGTTTGTAGGTGTAACCTTAAGGAGTGATCTTTATGCAAATATGCGTGAAAAATACATTTTGGGAAAACTGTCTTAAGTTACAGTGCCCATATAAATCTATGAGTTCAAGTTGGTTAAAGGAAATGATAAGAGAAGAAACTGACCAAAGTGTTTTGCATATAAACATCTGATTTATTGTTTCACGAATGTTTGCAAATAAATCTTGTCATCCACATCCTGGAAACGCACAGCTGGAGATGTGGACTGCTGGTGACCATTTTCAGTTTGACATCAGAGAAAAGGCTGTCAAATGCTACGCTTAACGCTACTGTCATCAAGCTTGTTAGAGCCAACTCTTGACTCTGGGGATAAAGGCTTTAATGCCTCTGACATGACTTCTGTAATCTTCTGGCCCCATTGGAAACTTGTTACCTGTGTCGCCAAGACCCGCAGCTTCTGTGAGAGGAATATAGCCAGTATACTGTACATTTTTTATTATATTTTCTTAATTTTGTTGCTAAATATCGAACAACAGTAAGATGGCAATCTGACTTTATACTAATTGTTTTTAAACATTTTTATGTTGACAGATTTTATGATGTTGGTGGACAGCGCAGTGAGCGAAGAAAGTGGCTTAACTGTTTCGACTGCATTGATGCCCTTTTGTTTGTTGTGGCGCTAAGCAGCTATGATGGCACACTGACAGAACAGTCATCAACGGTACGTTATTGCCAAATCACACTGCTGTTATTTGAGGTGATTGGATAATTGATTCCTCCTTTCTTATAGAGTAAGTTACTGGAGAGTCTTGAACTGTTCTCATCCATCTGCAACAATGGGATTTTTAACAATACATTATTAGTAAGTATGCAGTCCTTAAAAGTGCTCATACTATCTTTTTTATGTATCCATTCTAGATGAGCACAGCGATGCACTGGGTGCTAAACTTAAATATGTCATCTGTTGTAAGCCTCAGTTGTTACTTTTAAATTAATATTTTTGAAAATGTTTAGATTTTGTTCATGAACAAGGCAGATCTTTTCCAAGAGAAGATTTTAAACTCTGGAAGACACCTAAAACTGTACCTTCCATTGTATACAGGTGAGTGAGAATAACATTCTGACATGGTGACTATAGAGAAAACTCATTGTTATATTCAAGTGTGTCCTCCCTTTTTCTGTTTTCTTGGGTACTCTCCTGCCCCGTGGGTAATCACTATTCTTTTTGACCAGTGTGTTGCATGCACCTCCACTGCCCCTGACTGGGTTACTGTATTTCTCATGCTTAGTGACAAGAATGTAAAGATGTACTCAAGGCAGGAAGAAAGCAAGAAGAGCCTTTAAGTTTCACTTAACATTTTTATTACCTAATTTTTCTTAATTCAGGAGCAGATTGTGATGTGGATGCGGCTGCTAACTACATTACTACCATGTTTTCATCGTGTAACACCAATACTGACAAACATGTGTATCATCACTTCACAACTGCCACAAACAGTGACAGCATGCATGTGGCCTTCCAGATGCTCACTGAACAGATTTTAATGGAAAATATTGCAAATTTCCATTTGAACTAGAGGTCAGATTTTTTTCTGGGTTTTGTATTCTACCCAATATATTATTTTACAATGCAATTTTAATATTTAAATAAAATGTTTTTATTTAAATTGTATACATGTAGTCATCTTCCAACAAAATATTTTATTACATGTAAAAAAGTGACACTTTTGAATTGAACAGGCTATAAAATAAATTGCATATAGCCTATATTTATTTAATGAAAATACCATACTATAACATTGAATGACAAAATCAAAAATAAAAGAAGAGAAGAAGAGTGCAACAACTGTATAAACCTCAGAGTTGAGGTGTTTTCATGCGTGAACAGGCACCTCTGGGCGCGCCGCTCAGTCTCCTGCACAGTCTGCGGAGTCCAGGGAGAGGAAGACTTCAGCCGAGCACTTAAACGAGCCTTTCAGTTCTTGGAAGAGTTCACAACTCTGCAGGTTTGGTGTAATTTCTTTGATGCAAACAGGCTGTGTGGGACAGAAATATTTTTAAGTAGCCAAAGACGTTTTGTGATGAGCTTTTAGGCGTATAATAGCGATTTAGTTTTAAGCACAGACATAGACTGACCATGGTCTTGAGGAAGAAACTGCGAGGCGTAAGTTCTGAAAGCAAGTTGGTCGTTGACTCTGCGCTGTCTGTCCGTTGCGTCTCGCCTCTCTTTGCGTATGGAGACCTCCGAATCCCGGACAATAAACCAGATGCCCTGCCCACTGAGTAGTAGCTTGGTCCGCCGGCCATCTGTTTGTACCACCCTTCCGTCGGACTGCTCGCCAAAAGCACGAAAAACACCGTGATACAGCAGACGAGTTTGACTGACATCTCCATGCCGTGGGCTGGGAGTTCTTTGAGAGTCCTTTCTGTCACCGCTCAAAACGATCTGCTCAAACTTGCCACACTTCTTATAGGTGAGCGTCGTCATGGTTTCGTCAGCAGAAGTGCGAGTGATGGAGATAAACGTGGGACCCGTGCGTAAAGTTCATTTTAGGAGCCCAGACCTTATGATGAAAAGCCTACTTAAGTTTAACATTAGACATTTCAGCCAAATACACAAATTCAAAGTCTGCTCACGACATAGGCCAACATTTATATAGAGGGGAAAAGACAAAAATATTTCTCTGGCACTGAGGAGGATAAAATGTGGGAAACCAAGCTGAAGAATCTATTTTTTAGCAGTTTAGAGATCTTCCTTTCCTTCTCACTGTTCCACAACTTTTCAAATTCCAGTGATCTCAACATTTTCCTCCTGACTTGGCCGTACTAACCTGCTGCTGGTGAGACTAATAAAGGTTCTCTCGTCCTTAACTCTGGGCTGCTTAATATTGATTCTTTAAACAACACTGTAAAAATTACCCAATTAAATAGAGACATATATGCGTTTCATTCAGAGCCACTGTTTGCACATGTGTCCTAATGGAATTTATAGGTTTTATAGGCTTAAACGTGGGGAAATACAGGCATTATTGCAATCTTTCTCATTTAAAATGGGCGCCAAAGAAGCTCTATAGCCTCCTAAAATGTGATACCACCGACCATTAAAAATAAAAATAAAATATCATATAAAAATGTAAGTAGTTAAATTAAAGAGCAATAGGCCTAATGATTTTAATAAAGAACTGTGCTTAATTTTGTCCAACAGAAACCACCAGTATCCACTGCATATAAAATTTACCACTTTATAACTTTGACTTCGTTACGTTCCACCACTGCTGGTATAATCCCGGATGAGGCACACGCGCTTCAGTCATTCAACGCTCAGACCTTAGTCGCTCTTCTCTCATCTGCTCTGGAAAAAACCTGTGACTTGTGGAAGGAACTGGTGAGAGCAACAGCGCCACCTGGTGGATACTACTAAAAACATTTAAAGTTCTAAATCGTCAACTCCTATGTTAATCTTCTATGAATGTAGGCTACCAAGGCTAATTTGTTCCATACTTGAGGTGTTCAACTTGTCCGACTTTTAAAATTCTGCATTCAGAGACTTCGTCGAAAAGCTGTGGTCATAGGCCTATTCTGATCAATCGAAAATGAAAGTAAAAATCCTGCGATTTTTCCAGCTACCTTTCTCATTGAAATGTATTAATCCAGCAGGGAAAAGCACCAAAGCCCTGGTCTGACAGTTGTTGGTGGCGTCTTTACCAAAAAAAAAGGCAAGAGACTACGTTTTCATACCCTGACAGCAAAATACAGGATAAGCACACTAGAATAAAGGCCTAGCAGTGTATGCTAATTGGCTTTAATTGGGCGAAGGTTCTGGTCTAGGGCAACGTCAAGATTAGGCTAAATGTTAAGAATAGCCTATGCATACATGTAGCCTACATATATGTATGCATGTACATACGCCTTCTCCAATCAGTCTTTGATAAAACATTTTGTGGTTAATAACTTTGATAAGAACTGAATAAAAATAACTCACAATGCCAAACCCAGTTACAAAACTGTTATTGCTCATATGACCTAAGGGAACTCCCATTCTGAAAAAACGAAACTTAAGAGATCTACAAAAAAGGCGGAAACGAAAGCGTTCGCCAGAGCGAGTCTGGAGGAGATGTTTGGACGCTCGGTGAGTGTGCCGCACGGAGGACGCACGGTCGCGCCACTGTCCCGAGGTGAGTTTATTTCTCCCAATTTAATCCGCCACCTCCACCTGTCCCAGAAAAGCTATCGTG